TACAAAAATCACTAGTTTTGAAACATGTGACGCCGAACAAATCACTAGTTACGTTACGTTTCTCGAAAATGACGTAACGACTCACGCCTATGTCATACTGCGGTTTTCAAATTGAAAATATCTACCTGTTCCTAATCTGGATCAAAATATAAAAAGATTTATACTCTGCTCAACTCAAATACGTCAGTAACGTCACTGTCATCTGTCAGATTTTTTGTAGAAAAATCGTTTTATTTATTTATGCTCTTTGTTGTTATTTACTAATTATGATCTCAGAAGTAAAATATTTGAATTGTTTCAGAATGGAGTAAAAGAAACTTTATAACATTTACTCCTTTCTGAGGAAATCGTTGTTAAGATACGGAATAATGAAGTTTTCATTTCAACATAGGGCATTTTATTGCTATCTTGGAATGAGTTTATGGATTTTTTTCTTGATAACAGGTGAGTGAAAAATGTAGCCCATAATGTTTATTAAATAAAAAACTTACAATTAAATAGTCTAGGACTATTGTCCTATGACATTTTCCTATTCTATGACATTTCATTTTTACTAACTTTTTATAGTTCAATCAGACGAAAATTTTATTCTAGACTAGAAGTGTTTCATTACAGTTGACTTTTGTTTAAATTTACTTTTATTAGTTTATACAGATATTAAAATAGATATTCTTTTAGTTGTATACAAGTACATATCAGTAGGGGAAGAAACAGCAGCTGTAAAATTACCACCCCAAGAGTACATATCTAAGAGTGATGCAAAATTTAAGAGGATATTCCTTAAAGCGTGTAATCCAGCAGACAGTATAGTACGTGGATCGGAAGGTAAACTATTTTTTTTTTATAACATAATGAATCCACCAAAATGGCGAAGCAACCGCTGCCCATAGACATCCACAATTGCAGATGCGTTGCCTAACCTTATCCCACGGAGGAGGAGACGCACATAAAAAGGATATTTCCCCTTCCTATGCATATTACCTATTCCTTAATGTAGAAAAAAAAATTAACAAACCCATGCTATTTAGCTTTTTAAGTTCCGTTTCATGCATTAATAGCCATGACACTTGGTAATAGAGGTTATGGTTTGACAACTCTAGCTAGTGCATATTTCGAGTGGAGGCAGGTCATGTATCATTTCAGCTTATTGAATTCACCATCGATCCCCAGTAAGCTTTCTATGCTGCTGGTGGTCTCCGAGATTGATCTTGGCAAGCCAATATACCTTACCCTGTTAGAGACTGTCTGATAGTATTGTATAATAGATTATACTAGCTTTTGCCTGCCATTCCATCTGCATGGAATTTAAGGCTCTACATATATGCCAAATTTCATAAAGATCCATTCAGCAGTTTAGGCTACAAGCTCTAATATTCATCCATTTAAACTTTTGCATTTATATTATTACTAATATAAATGCAAATATAATAAATAAAAATATAATAATATAATAAATAATAATAATAAAAATTATGGATAAACCTTACGGTTTATTCATCATTTTTATTAATGTTTAAACCAAATATTAAAGTATATGTAAGTCCAATCTAACAAAACAATTTATTATTCCAGGTGTAGTTGACAGTGAGACTTGGCTGCTGCAAGGTATATTGGTATTAACAAGGCATGGAGATAGAGGTCCACTCACACATGTTAAAGGTGGGGACAAACTGCCTTGCGATACTGTACCAGTTTCAACACTTCTTAAAAGGTATGAAATGTTAAAAAAAAAATCTTTTAATATTACCTCATGATAAGAAGTAACATCTCCAATTAGATTTTATAAGAGGTCTTACTTGTTGCTTAATAAAAATATATGTTTTTGAGATAATACTTAACAGAACGCTTTAATGAAAATAAAATTAGTTTTCAAGTAATTTATATGAAAATATGGCGACGGGCAGGCGGCAGGCCGCAAAATAAGTAAGCCAAAACAACGAGTAGGATAAGGCAGGGGAGATGAAGTAATTTATATGAATATAAAATTAAAAATTTTGTACTCAAGAAATTTCGTATTTTAATTTGATTGATATTTTAATTGATTGTAGGCCAACCAATCTATTCAATGAGAAAAAATCCCATTGAACTAATATTTGTTGATCAATCCGTTCAATGGGATTTTTTCCCATTGTTTTAATTGGTTTCTACAATCCCTAGAGACCTGTGTAAATTATTTGAGAACAAATTTTTAAATTATATTTACATTGAAGCATTCTGTCAGGTATAAAAAAAATATATCTAGCTATGTATATGACTACTAGATAGGCTGGCAATACTCATGTCAAATATCAAATAGTGGTATCCAATTAAAAGTGTTATATGTCAGTAACTAGCTTTCGCCCGCGATGCCATCTGCGTGGAATTTAAACAAAAGTGAGTAGCCGATGTGTTCTTCCGGACTATCCTCTACATCTATACCAAATTTCATCGAAATCGGTTCAGCCGTTTAGGCTACAAACTCTAACAAACATCCATCTAGACTTTCGCATTTACAATATTAGTATGATATGACATTTTTGTCCGGGTAGTTACGTGGAGTTTGTGTCTAACGCGAGTGTGGGGGGCCGCGCGTGGTGGGTGTCGGGGCCGGGTCCCTTCCACAACTTCCCCTCGCTGCCGGCGCGCGCCGCCACGCGCTGCGCCCTCGGGCAGCTCACACACAGCGGCCTGCTGCAGATGCTCACCCTGGGTCAGTGATCAGTGCGCACTAAATGTACAGTCGCGGAAAACCGCGGTGTTGCAATATAACTAACAACTAATTGCCACTTCCTACAAACTACTTTTTTTATATCATATGGCAAACGAGCAAGCGGCATAATCCACCGAAATGGAAAAGGACTGCCCATAGACATCCGCAATTGCAGATGCGTTCCACCCTTAATTGTCGGACGAAACGCACATAAAGAGGATGTTACCACTATGCGTCTCTACCGTTAAATCCCCGTTCTAAAATTAGGCCTCCGACAACACATTCATCAGATGAAACGCGGAATTGCTTCCATTTCACGCCTGTTTTCTGTGTGGTCGTGGTATTACACCGGGCGTGTCGGCTCATTTGTGCGCAGATGTTAAAGCGGGCTCTACCACTGCTAAAAACCAATTAGATAGTGAATGCAAACGAAGGGATAATAAAAAGCTAGCCATGTTTCCCTAAACTTTTTTGTACAGACATTTATAAACTGCGTTGTATTGATTTTTCCGCGTCTCGTTACAATTGTTCAAACGATTGTAATTTCCTCGACTGTACAGTCCGGGATTTTGTCGGTGTTACACTTTAAAAGCTACAGACCGTTCTTTTCCTACTCCCGTTCACGTGAGGTCAGGCACTACCTTCTGGGTCATGTTACCACGGATTTCCGCGACTGAAAAGAATTAAATTCTCTACCCAATTAAGATAAAACCGAGATCTAATTTAACATGTATTTTCAAAGTGTTTAAATTAAGATATATCAGAATATTGGTCTAATATTGTATTTTTCTCATAGGTAACATATTACGAGAGGCGTATAGTGATAAATTAGGTTCTGATATGGAGTTATCAGGGAAAAAAGATACGGGTATGTATACTAGATTATAACAATAGGCAAAAGTTAACATAATACAAGACAATATAACATTCAATTTATTCATTTATCTATTGTAAATATAATAAGGGGTCTTCAATAGATTGACGATTGCTTAATAAAATTTTAAAAACCATAATAAAATACAATAACCAATTAAAATAATAACTATATGAAGCAATAGCTGTTAATGAATTACAAATAAACGAGGTATAAAGTTAAATTTAGGAATAAACTGAGTATAAGCAAATATTAATACAAATTTTGCTTATACTCAGTTTATTCCTAAGTTTAATTTTATACCGCGTTTATTTGTAAAGCTGTAAGGGTGTAGACATCATACTGTCGTGGGTTCCGATTTCAATTTTGTTTACATTTGTAAAATTATCAATAGCAAATGTCAAAATGACATGACATTACAAACCTTGGCAATCTTGCTTCCTTGTTAACTTATGGTCTCTTTCCCACATTAGGGTTTTTATCCAAAATATTTACCCCCTAAGTTCAATAGCGTGAAAATATGTAGTCTAATATATAGACGTAAGTGTAGGGCTTTTTATTAAAGAAAGAATTATTCAAAAATATGTTGTAATTGCTGACATCTTAGGCAACAAAGAAGTGTGTGTTTACGCTTTATTATAATAGTATAGATTAGTAGATTTTTATTAATTTACATTAATAAAAATCTAACTAAGCTGTAGTCTTCTGCCTGATTCACAATAGTCGAATGGTGGGTTTTGAACCCTCGACCTCAAGATCGGTGGTTGAAATGGTTCTTCAAAAAAATTACATATCGGAGTGCACTAGTATTAAAAACGTGCAGGTGTAGCGTACACGACGCGGTACAGACGGACATTCCAGTCGCTGCAGGCGCTGGCTTGGGCCAGCTCGGGCGGCGCGGCGGCGGCGCGCGAGGCGCACAGCGTCGCCTTCTGCTTCAGGGACTGCGCCTGCGCCGCGCAACATGTCTTAGCCAGGTGAAGTCATACTGATATTATAAATATGAAAGTTAAGATGTATGGATGTTTGTTAGAGTTTGTAGCCTAAACGGCTGAACAGATTTCGATGAAATTTGCCAAAGATGTAAAGCCTACTCTAGAAGAACACATACTTGCTTTAGTTCTAAACTAAACTAGCAGTCGCTAGTTTTAAATAATGTTTTTATCTCAACAGGAAAATAAATACCCAGTTGAAAACAAGATTGGAATCTCATCCTGCGATAAAAGATCTAATTAAAAAGTTATCTAAAGTATTATTTGAATCACAAGAACATATCGACGCGGATGTTGTTAGGGATGCGTTGTTGGCATACGTGTGTCACGAGGCACCGCTGCCTTGTGTTGAGAAAACTAAGAAATCAACAAAAGATAAAATTCCAAGAAGGAAACAAAGGAACTATCGTGATATGGCATCTAGAAATTTACTACAAGTTGATATAGACGCGTTGAATATGGAACTAGATTATATCAACAATCAGATAGATTTTAACAACGAAGTCGGGAGAAAAGCTAGAGATATAATTGGCAAATACTATGACAGTAAAGATAGAAAAGCTCCGTTAGATTTTGACGCTCAAATGGAAAGAGAGAAATTACTCTATTACCAACAAAGATATTTAGATAACGCTGACGGTTATGAAGACGTTGTTATAGTTAAAAAGAATTTAGATGCAGATTTCAATTTTCCAAACGACGCAAGAATGGATACGGATTTCGATGAAGACTATAGGGAGCCAACGCCTGAGAATACTGAGGACTTTTGCATCCAAAAGGAACATGTAATGTCACTTTTCGCGTACCTAGAATGGAGTTTTAAACAAGAAATGAAGAATTTAAATAATAGAAGACGAGGTTTACTTCACGCTTATGGATTAATACATAATATAGTACAGAATATGATTCGTATGATATCAGAAAATAAACCTAAATATGTTCTTTATTCAGGACACGATAAGACTTTACAAGCTTTAATACTCGCGTTAGGTTTGAATAGCTACCAACATTACAATATTCAATACGCTTCTAGAATGATCTTTGAAGTTTATAGAAAGAAGGAATTACGCGATGAATTCAAATTCACTAAAAGGAAAGCGATCGCTCAAGATTTTTATTTCCGTGTTGTTTATAATGGAGATGATGTAACGAATAAATTAAGTTTTTGTAAGGATAAGCAGAATATTATAATGAAAGTTGTCGACCCCACAGATAATGTTAAAATTTACAACATATATTTATGTCCAATCGAAAGTATTGTAAGGTTTATTCATGATGATTATTTTGCCAGTTTTAATGCTAGTAATTTTAAAGATGCGTGCTCTATATATGGGAATGGCAAACACGTGATATAAAGATGGCTATAGCATAGATTAAACTAAATGTTGCCATAAAAAATTCGTCTACAGCACAAATAAACATTCGTTCCTTTAAAAGATCTCTTTGAGTTTGAATAGTAACAGATCTTTTATTAGATTTTGTGTATCTTCCACAGATTAAAAATGCGTTTATTTGTATTTTGTATTTACATATGGCAATTTATACTCTACGTGCAATTACTCAATTTAATTCCTTATTAATCCAATAAAGAGATTCTTACGTATTAAAACATTTGTACTGAGGTTATTTTTGTGATATTGTTTTTTTTTTCTTTTTTAATACATCACAATTCAAGTGTTTCAGTTAAATGGTTTGACAGTACATTTGTAAATAATTTTGTTCATGTACTTACATATCAAATATAGCTTTTAGAATTTTATTTACATATTTTATAGGTTTTTAATAATTGACTTTTAAATGTGTATTGAAATTGTTATTTAAAAACATATCATTTTAAGTGTAAATTATTATGGATTTTTTCCCCACCGTTTATTGGAGTACAAAGTTGAGTGCATTTATTTTTTAATGAAATTGTACTTTAATAAAAAAAACTTGTTATAAAAAGAATCATCATCACAATTTTTATCACATTTTTTAAGTGTTAATCTTATTTTTTTATGGATTTTTGTGATATAAGTTTGAGATTTTTAACTAATAAGTTATTTTTTTAATTATTTTGTACTTAATATTCACGTAGTTAAAATCGGTTCCTGTCATTTTTTATTATGCTTTCAATTTAGCTATAAAGGCAGCAGATTAGGTTTTTTCTTATAATTGTGAAAAATTATTTATTTTGTGTAACTAATAAATATGTAAAAAATAGTTAATTCACAAGTTTATATCTGGCTCGAAGGACCAATAAAATATGTTCAATGATTGAAATAAGTAATAATTTTTACTCGATACTGGTGAATCTCAATACTTGTGTTTTTTTTTGATGATTTATCAATTTTTTTTATTTACAACCTTTTTATAGCTAACTTCGTTTTATTGAATTTTTTGATGTGACAATAATTTTAAACTTTTAAGAGTGCATAAAATAATGTTGTTATTTGTGTAAAATGTAGACGGCGAATTTAACATATCCTTTTAAGATTCAATAAAATTGGTTGATCGAATTTTTTTTATTATTCAGGACACTTTTTTTATATTTTCCCTGTGATGCCTTTATTTCAGTAAGTTTAGAGCCTGCCCCACCACTGGCTGATAGACGCTCAGGTAGTTTAAAAATGACGTCACTATCGATTTGAGGAACAAAATCTAATATTTCCTTCACACATTTTACACGTTAGATTGTTATCAGACAATTTACAATTTGGTGGGACAGGCCCTTAGTCTTTTATTCATTGAGGTTTAACATTTTTGATTTAAACGTTACAAAATTTAATGTCTAATTATACCTGACTCGAAGGACCAAATTCATATACATCCTCTAGAAAGTAGATTTATTAACACAAATAAAAACGATTTAATTTTCAAATAAAGAATACCAAAAAAAAGTGTATAGTTCTTTTGAGGAATTGTATTTATGTAAATCCTAACCTCAAATTCAGATTTTTATTCCACATGCGCGCGTGTTCGCGTTTCGAATTGGTTGTAACCTTGACAATGACCGGCTTGCACAAATTGAAGGTGGAATTAGTAACGCATTACTAATTTTTCATGGTTTTTACTACGCCCATATGTTTTTTCACAACACTACAATAATACTAAATGTTTATAAAGGCCCGATGAAATCATAAATTTCAATATATGTAACATTCATAGAATACGTTCTAGAAACTAAAAGTATGAAAATCAGTTTGCCTTGTTTACGATTTGCTGCAAATACAGGTAATGTTTTCACATGGAAATACATCACGCCACTTTATCTGTCTCTTTCTTATAGCATATTGCGTCTCTTTCATACGTAGCGCATTAGTTTTCTGTTTACATCTTTCCTTTTATTCCTCAGTTTATTTCCATTTTAATTCGTCAGTTGTACATATACCACAGATAATAAATACTATACCAATAAGAGATTCGAGATTTCTTTGTAATCGATTACTTGGTTACATTTACAATATAAATAAAATAGCAAAGGCTATATTCAGTTCCTGTTTTTTAATATTTTTTTAAGAACTAACGCCGCAACGAAACACTAGAGCAGTTTCGTACTCTTCCAGAAATGAAGTACATTTAAATATACTATTATCCGCATCCATTCAACGCATTTACATCGAGTCAATTGGTAATATTGTCTAGGAATGAGACATCTTCAGTACGTAGTAAACATGTTTGTCGTTGGAGGTGTGTCGACTGCGTAGCGCCGCGCCGCTCTCCGCTGACTCACGATTCATTTAAATCAAAACTAATGTAAACACTTCAAGGTTATTATCTAAGTTTCTATTCTAATGTTATTACAAATTGTCACAGCTGTACAGTTTAGAGGAGTCTCAATATATAGAAAAAGAGGACTGTTGTGTTTTTTTCACGCCACATTTCCCACATAACGAAGTAATTTCAATCCAAAAGCATGTTAAAAAGGGGCACTGTAGCAATACAAGACGCTAGTAGCACTAAAACTGGTACTGATTGTAAGTTAACATATTTGTTGTACGTCTACTCGGTTAAATAGTGCACCCATCAACAATTTCGTTGGCGGGAAAGTGATATAAAAATGTTTTGAACTCCACATAACGCCAGATGTTTGTAAATATCAGTGGCCATAGATATTTAAAAAATTCTTGAGTAATGTTGCTATGCTAAAAATTATCCGTAAATACATGTATATAGATATTAAAATTCAAATAAATTCTATCCCATTCAAAGAACTTAATAAAAATTCATCATTTGGCTACGCAGACGTGTTGAATGCAAAATGAAATACACAATTTGTTATTCTATCTGCGTGAATAATTTGTTACATCGATTCTTGGAAGCATTTTAAGTGTTAAAACAAGCAAAATAAATAAAATTAATGTTTGTTTTATTTACTGCTACTATAAGATTATCGTGAATTAAAACAGACATTTCAAATTGGTACAAACCTTTTGCATATTTGCTATTTGCCAGTAGTAAGAAATAATCGTACATACTCATAGACATTTATTTCATCTTACTAATAAGTATTAGTATACAAATGCTAAATTAAAAAAAAAACACAGATGTAGAACACAAAGGCTTACTTAGTTGAATATCCCATTTTTTAGATACCGCACGGATTGAGTCACGGACGACAACTAATCATGGTAATATTATAAATCCAAAAGCTTAGATGGATGGATGGATGTTTGTTAGAGTTTGTAGCCTAAATGGCTGAACAGATTTCGATGAAATTTAAGATAGATAGTCTGGAAGAAAATAACACATAGGCTACTCACTTCTGTATTTTTTAACCCACGCGAACGGAGTCGCCGGCGAAAGCTAGTAATACATCATTTTATTCTATATATAACATTCACATATGTCTTCCGCGTCCTAAACTGATCATGAATTAGATCAGGTGTTGATAAACATTTATGTTTAAATTAGACTATGTTTTTAATTGTTTTTTTCATGTATCAGTAGCAATTATCATTTGAACTTACGATAGTCTACTTGTCGGTTACAATCTAATTCCGCCAGGATGCTTTAAAATAAGACAGGTGAAAGATATTATCACCTGTCACTTTCTATTTCACAACCACTGATCTATATAAATGGATAGGTCTTTGCTTGCTAAATCCTGCTTTGTTTTACTCCAATTTAAACGCGCCCGTTAACGTTAGTAAATGACCGTCAGCGCTAATAATGCGAAAATCAATAAAAAAACAAAACCGACTTCCAAACAAAATACACTAAAAACAAAACAAAATGCACTAAAAACAAAACAAAATACACCAAAAACAAAATATTCTCAAAAAAACAGTACACTAAAAAGTAACGAAATAATTCCTTGAAAATAGTAAACCTACCTTATTGTAACTGTTATGTTTATATTGTACAATTATTATTACTTTGATGTCGGTGTCAGCCAAGGTATGCAGTGATATTTCTACGTAAGAGTTTCCACATTTTTACCATAACAATTGACAATTGAAAGTATAGTAACAATTAAGTAATGAATCTACATTGACTGACACCGACTTCAAAGTAGTAATAATTGTACAATATAGACATATTGATCGGAATTATATAGTTCCAAGGGCATTTATAATCTACATTAAATTCTCTTGATGATAGACTCATTTATTTGGATAAGGATTCATACCGAACACGAGTAATAGCGTTGAAAGTTGGGTGTAGATTTCGAGCGATATTTTAATGAAAAAAGTGGTTATTGTGCGACCTTAATAGATAGATATATGCTATCGCGGACTTTTATTTAGCAAATTTAATGGGCTACAATTCTTCCATACATCATTTTTATGTAAGTCTTATAGTTTAGGCTACGTAAGCAAAGAAAGCAAAAATGACCCGAAATTTCGTCGCGTGATTTTGAGCTACACTATTTAACTACGTCGTAGTCTTAGACTCCAAAAATTAAACAAAAAAATGGGACCCACCTGCAAGCATTACCTTTCGGATAAAAAAAGAATTATCCAAATCGGTCCACTAGCGGCGGAGTTATGCCGTAACACAAATAAAAAAAAAAAACATACCGTCGAATTGAATACCTCCTTCTTTTGGGAAGTCGGTCAAAAAGATACAAAACAATATATTATAGCCTATCTATTTATAGAGGTCAGTGTGTTAATCCACAAGTTATAATTATAATTTTACATTATTTTAATCTTTTAGCTATCTGTCGTCATTTATTAAATCTACAATCTACACTAAGGGGTGCCTTTAGCGTCTCGTGCTGCGGCAATCTTACTTCTTACTAATATTATAAATTCAAAAGTTCAGATGGATGGATGGATGGATAACACGCGCACGGAGTCGCGGCAAAAACTATTAGCTAAATAAATAAACATGCTTTGACTTAATCTGTGATGTTTTATCGTGGTCTCCGCTGTCAAGGTCACATAATATTTTGATAGTTAGGCGCCATACACACTACGCTAATAATTTACGTACTAGTCTGGCTTCCTTTTTAAAAATTAATACTGTATTTTATTACAAGCATTTTATAAAACTAAATTAAATTGTTGTTGTAAAATGATACACAATTTAGATATTTCGAATATTTTAAAACTAAGTCTAGACCAATGTTAAATATTTAACGTTATTTATTATGATACTTAATTTCATATTTTAACCTTATGATAGAGTTGTCAATACAGGCAAACTTTTTTTTTAATTGTCTTTAAAATGATATTTATTGTCTGTGTTCGTAATACTAGTATAGTATTGTATTATCTGTGGTTATTTTGCATTTTTGGTGTCTTTAGGGAGGGGGGAGGAGGATAAACGACGCCCATGTTGTCAAGTGTTGCTTTAATAAAGGAAGTAGACATGGCCTTGTTTGGATGACGTCACTATCGGACTGCCGGGCGCCGCACTTTGGCCTACTTACAGCACATCTGAACAAATCCGATGGATTTGCAGTTGAATATATAATGAAATCAATTATATACAAACTTAGTAATATTATAAATGCGATAGTGTAGATAGATATGTAGATATTTGTTAGAGTTTGTAGCCTAAATTGCTGACTTGCTTTTAACGCGGACGGACTTGTCGGCAATAGCTAGTATTTTATACAGTTAAAGTACATCATCAATTATTTAGGAATATAAATATCCACAATTTCTCGCTTTCTTTTTCTTTCTGTACATCATTTCCTTGTTCTTGACTCGTGAACCTTAGTGTCGATAGACGAGACCTTACTTGACCATTTCCCTCTAATTCAAAATTAGACATTTTATCTGTCGAATTCATAGTTGTTTAGTAGTCCCTATTAGTGGTTTAATATGATAAATACACGCTAAGGGTATTCCTTAGTCCTTAGTGACCAACGTAAGTGCTACAGAAACTCGCTTAACTAAATTATCTCCCAGGTATATCAACATAAAAAGTACATTTTTTATTCAAAAATCAGTATTTTGTTTACATTTTCCTAGAATGACTAACTGTTATCTGAAATGCAATAACAATTGTAAATAAAAGATTGTTATTGGCGTTTTTTCAAAACAACCCTGAACGCGAAACTACGCAGTTGATTGTAGAAAACAAAACAACACAAAGTTATATAATTTAGCGGAACGTGCGATATTTGAGACATAAGCGGAGAGCGGAATGCACGTTCAATAATATTTGTTGACATTCGGTACAGAGAACTTCTTATATAGATCACCCAAATCTTCACTCTTAGTCGATGGGATCGTGGTCAAGCGCTAGCTTAAAAAACTTAAAAAAAAAGATACCACAATTGACTTTTTTAGTTTATTATTACTTTAGTTATTATATTGAGGAATGTATCATATTTTGATTAGGTATTAACAAAAATATTACAACATATCTATATATGCCTATGTTGAAAATAACTGTTCAAACATTTCTAAAACTTACAAAATAAACACTATAAAAACTATATGTAACTTTTTATAATTATTAAAAAATGTGGTACATTATAATCGCTTCGCTTATTACCTTAGGACATAGACTCGATAACAAAAAACACGTGAATTTAAACTGAGATAAGAAAATAAAACCGCATGATCCTCAACACGTAGGCTAATTCTTATCCACTTTGTTTACCACAGAAGTTGTCGTGTTTGCTAAATTGTCAAAAAATGACTACCGGTGTTAGGGTAGAGCGCCTAGAGACCGGACAGAGTGAGCGCAAATCAGTGAATTAGAGTCACATATAAGTCTTTAAAACCCCCTTCCCTTCCCTCAAAGATTATATTCAAGCCTTACAATATGAAAAAAAAACTGTCGTTTGCAGTTTATGACTTTTTAATAGTAACTTATTAAAGGTTATGTAACAGAAAAAAACAAATTGTTAATTATTCCCTGTCATTTTTAGCTAGCTTTAGTCACATATTTATACGAAATTTTTGTAATCTCGAAGCTTTTGCCGAATACCGGTGAACAAGGAAACAAAAAAAGCATGTTAAATCTGTACTTCGGTGTGTGGTAATGCATTGACGAATGTTTTTTTTTTATTTATAGTGCATTTAGAACGTTCCGTTGGTCAAGTCGTAAATTATAAGAAATCAAATTATCGTGTTGCATATATAATATCAATAATACATTAGACATACCGATATTAAAAAAAGAAAAAAGGCCCAGTCTCACTGCACACCGCGTCTTGAATAATAAACCATATGACGTCTTTTATTTGAATAATGAATATTTCGCGCAAAGATCAAGGATAAGTGGAAAAAGTCAAGATAAATCCATTATTTAAATGTAAGCTACTGGTGAATGCATAAAAATAATGTCATCCCTTTTATTCTCTTGTAAAAAACAGAGACAATAACTGTTATCATAGTCATTTTTTAAAAAGATAGGCTATAAGGCGTCGAATTTTGTGCCTATTTGAATCTCGCCATTTTTTTTTACCAATGGTTTTTATACAAGAGTTTCAGTAGTGTCTTAACTGTCTTATTTATACGACTATTTTTGGCTTAACTTGTTTTTCTATATTTTTTAGTTAAAATATTTGAGGTGAGAAAATGTTCAACTATTTCTCGCCGCTTCGTATCCGTGAAATTAAAAAGTAAAAAAAAATATCACCTATATTACTCACGGTTAAAATAGCTTGCTAACGGTGAAAGAATTTTTAAAATCGGCCAAGTAGTTTTTGAGCTATTTCAGTACATACAAAAATACAAATGTTTCCTCTTTATAATGTTAGTTGCTAATAACGTTGTAACTATAACCTCAAAAGGTAACAAAACCAAAACAAACATTGATAAGAAAAGATAGCGGTTACTGGGTTAAACTGGGATATTTATTGAGTGATAAGTTTTATGAGCATGAAATTAAATTATCATTTGTAACAACAAGATTTTTTTTAATAATATTAACATAGCAACAAAGTTAAAATATTTTAATTTAAATACGTCTTTAGCAGTTTCAAGTTCAAGACAACTCCAGGCATAAACTGCAGGTTACTGACAAAAACATTCCTTTATGAACAGAAATAACAATTGTCACGAAAGAGGAAAGTCGAGTTTAAACGTTTATCGAATAATTAACCAGTGAGGCAAAGGCAACAGGGAAAATCAATCAGCCAATAAATATACTGCGTTCCATAGACAAGACAATAAAGGTAAACATTTTAAAGCTAGAGTTTTAGGAGATTTTCGGTAAGTTTTTCTCTAGGTAAGGTCCTATATAGAGATACATTGGTGATCTAATTCATGTCGTAAAAATTAATACGGTAAGTGAAGTACTGAATGCAATAACTGATTATGTCGCCAGTATGAGAAAAAAAAAACGCTACAAAAAGATATCTAGACGCTCTAATACTTCGCTGTAGCCTAGTAAATAAAGTCGTAACACCCTAATGATTTATTCAAATACATAACCACTTCCGGATTTGCACTGGCTCGATAATAAACAGTATATAACAAACAAGCTATATTATAAAATGTTCCTATCAAATGGCCGATTCAAGCTTCAAAAAACTACGCACTAGACGCGTTGCTAATGTGTGCGTTAGTAATAAGATAACATTCCACTTCGTGTGCTGTTGTCAAAGATTAGCGATGTGGGAGAAAGATTTATTTAAACATATTTATTATTTTTCTTTTAACAATTCAACAAAACTTAAAGTTTGCATTACATTATGGATAGTAAACGGGAATCGAACCCGCAACTATGTGATCGGATGGATTTATCTTTAACTATCATGATATTGGCGTTTCATTTAATTTTACATGCGTTTTGTTTATATTAAGTTTCTATTATTAAAGTTGTGTGGTAGTGTTAAAAAACTAATGTCGATCACACACACATAATATGAAGGATGAGAGATGTCAAAATCGCGCTACATGGAAGTTCATATTATCTTCGGTAGATTGAGTTGATTCCTAGATTCTCAAATAACTCTGGTACAAAAACAATAAATCACTGATGTCTGATCTATGATTGTTTTGATGTGCCCCTTCGTATGTGTGTGTGATATGTTTGCACCGCGCAATGTCGGTGTGCGCAGTAAGCCGGTGTCGTATTTATTTTAGGCGCCGCTTCTACTCGGCTCAGTCCAGGCTCTGTTCGTACGTGTTGCTAGTTGTGTTTATGATTGAGATTGAAGAATTTTAAAAGTAAATTAAATTGAAAATGTCGGCGTCACCAATTGCAAGACAGGCCACTCATAGCCAAGCGATTCCGTCAAGGAAAGTTTTAATTACCGATCCATCGCAGATGCCTGATGTTTATTCCAGTACACCCGGAGGAACTATTTACTCTACCACTCCTGGAGGTAAATAAAACCTAAGTTAATACGAGTGAATTAAAACGCCGCTTATCTCTTAATTATGTTTTTTAATGTGAGATTTTAACCACGTTTTTCTTACATAACAAACCGTTCATGGGCATAATAGTTAAATCTAGGTTAAGTATTGTTAGTAATCACATTAGTTCAGTAACCTGTTTTTAAGCGGTTACAACCGGTTCGAATTAATGTAGGACATGAGACGTGCCACACAAAATTAGATAATTTCGTTTTCGTATTGCATGACCTTGACTTTATATTACACCCGGTTACATGCGAAGTCGCTTAAATAAACACGTGCTCTTATCGTAAACTCTATTATTTACTAAACACGTGCTCCAATGTTTTTATCAAGTAAATTTAGTTTATTTTGGTAATTTATATCAAAGATTATAAGCGTAAATGCGCAAAAACGCTGCGTATGCTTTACTACCTAAACCACCCTTTTTGCGTCCCCATTTCTACGTTTAATTTTGCCTTGTATGACCACGTGGTTACAGCGGAAATAATTAGTTACCGATTCAACACTTATTCTTCAATCTTTTTATCAGTTTTAATATAAGCTGCTAATGAATGTCGAAAATATTTTACTATTGAAAAAGTAGTACACATGTCGATTTGCTCCAAATCGGTCAAGGGCAAACCATGATAGTAGCCAAAAACACGTGTGCACAGATAAACATAAATAAACGTATATAAATAAATCAAGCACAGGAGCTATTACGAAGTTTATGTACACAGATTAAATACTGAAATGTTTGTTTATGAATTAAGGAACTTTGGCTTTTGAAATTAACATTATTTAGTAAACAAGACGCTATTCAAAATGTAAATATAACCTAATAGTCGAGCGATACTTCGAGATTCGATCTACGTTGTATACCAATGTGTTTCGATTCTCGAATTTCATATATATCAGAAGTTACGGCCAAGGAAAACATCGTGGTGTACACATCTGAGAAATTCAAAGATATTTATGAAGTTAACCGCAATGGGTTTGCGTGGTTGACTATGACCATGTCTCCACTAACATGGGTAGGGTCTTTTGCAATTTAAATCTGAATTATAGTTGCCTTACATGTGAAGTCTGAGCAATAAAAATTAGTGTTTAAATGTACGGACATTTTCCAATATAGTGTACCTAATTCGTTTTTTGTTACACATTTTTTTTCTAAATATATTACTTACGTATAAGTTTCTAGTTAAAGTATTAATTGCAATAAAAGGGAATTTACTCTCATTAGAACGCTGTTTCTAGAAATTTTGCAACACGGTTTGCAGGAACTATTGCAGTTTATTTTTACTAAGGAAAACTACATTTTGATAACAAAACGGTCAAATGGCGAAAAATGTACTTGACTATTGTTTTTAATAATAAAGTTTATTAATTGAATAATCAGTGATTACAGAATCAATATCGCCTTGGCTCCTTAACCAGGATATCCTGTGTTTAAGAAGCCAATTCGTCTGTAGGGTCCTATCATGAATTTTCGTGAGAACGTTTACGTAACGTCAAGGTTAAAAATATTAGATTTGTGCAGCGCACTTTACCGCGCGTAAAGTACACCAACAAATCTCATATGAATTTTATCGTATACGTTACGAATTTGGTCATACAAATGTGACGAAAGTATTCGTGGTAGACACTTAAATCTTAATTTTGTTTAGGTTTTGGTAGTAGTTATTGGTTCAAGATCATTATTGTGTATAGGGTTGTCCAAATGAACGAAAAGTAATAAAATTATTCAATTTATTTACCTTTCATAGTTTTACAGCTGACATGCTTTAGGTAAATTATTTTTATAACACGCATATTTTACATTTTTTTTTAATATTGACAAATGATTACGAGATTATATTTGTTTAAATTGGGAAACTTGTTAAGTGACTTCAGAAAACGAAACGCAAAAAAACCTGTTCGAGTATTTAAATAATATACTCGTATAGAGACCACGTTTTATCAGTAATTAGTTTTTAAATATATCAAGATATCTATTTAGTGTTTAGTAAAACATGCTGCATTAATATTTCTAACAAAAATAAAAAAAAAACGGGACCCACCTGCAAGCACTACCTTTCGAATAAAAAAAGAATTATCAAAATCGGTCCACTACTGGCGGAGATATACCGTAACACACATAAAAAAACATATAGACGAATTGAGTACCTCCTTGTTTTGGGAAGTCGGTCAAAAAGGAGAAAAACGTTACATTGTTTAACTGTTAAAAAATCTTAAGGAAATAGCTATTTTTTGTCGTTTTTTCCTTCAAAAGAATGCGTTGACTTAAAAACAAGTAAGTTTTATAAAAAAAACTAGCTTTCGCCCGCGACTCCGTGCGCGTGGAATTAAATAAAAAAAATGATTAGCATATGTGTTCTTCCAGAATATCTTTACATCTATGCCAAATTTCATTAAAATCCAGCCGTTTAGGCTATATACTCTAACAAACATCCATCCATCTAAACTTTCACTTTTATAATATTAGTATGATTTACTTTTTTAACGTTATGTCTTTTCTAGATATTCGTAACCATTGGTAATCTCAAAATCAAGTGACCTTAAATATAGAGTATTATTTTGATAACATATGTGGATAAGATATCAAGATAAGTATATTAGGGTGCGTTCACATTAACAAAACTTAAAAAAAAAAAAACTATAAATTATTATTTTAAATCATAGACAAATGACAGATTTTACTCTGAAACTGTTGTAGTTAATTTAAATTATCGATGTGTTGAATATTAAAGTTTATTCAAAATTAACAAAAAGTAGGAAGTAAAGATATTAAAAGTAAATTCTGCCGTTGTTAAAGATGACCGTCTTTTTCCTTGTACTAAAAATAAATATTTTGTTTGTTTATCATACTTATCGATATTTACACAACGATTGATGTTAAGATTAAGATATGAGAATGTCAACAGAGTTATCGTAATTTCGTAACTACGCACAAGTGAAAAGAAATCCGTACCCGAGTTAACATACAGCGCCATCTATTATGGAATTGAGAAAACAGCGGGATATCTATTATTTAGATTCGCTAATCAGTAACAATAATATATAATGTAATTTTGCTCAATAAAACATTTAATTATACACGTTTATGTTCAATCTATTGGACCTAACATACAGCGCCATCTATTATGGCATTGAGAAAACAGCGGCAATATCTATTATTTAGATTCGCTAATCAGTAACAAATATAAAATGTTATAATTAAATACGACATTAATGTACTATATACTACTAGATTAATTAAGTTAAATTAAGTTAACTAAATAAGCTTTTTTTTATATAAATAACTAAACCATTGACGGTTTTTATGTAAGAGGGTTCTGTGCATTTGACAAAAAAGGTTATATAAAAGGGGTTATTTCCTATTTTCCTTTTCCTTCAATATTTGACAATAAACTTTTTTTCAAATCACGATTTTTAGTAACAATTTTTTTTATCTATTCCAGGCACCAGGATTGTTTATGAAAGGTCGTTTTTGATGTCACTTCGACAGTCTCCGATCTCACAAACACCGCCTAAGTGTAACTTACCGGCGGCGTTGCTAAGGAACCCAGGCTCACCGAATACTCCTACAACACCAGTTCAGAAACCACGCTCTAATTCCATATCCTTCGATGAGTCGCAGGAAACTTTCAGTATGGATCTCTAATAGCTTTAATTATTTTATAAAACCACGCATTCTGCTAAATGCAAACCAGAATGCTTGCAAACTATCTTTTTAAATAACCTTAACAGATTATATAAGTGTAGGCTTTTGTAATTTATATTATGGTGTTACCATATTTTAAAATTGTTTTATAAAATCTTAACATATATGTCTGAAATAAAAAAACGACAATTTTTTATTGTATATTTTCAATGAAATATATTTTTTTAAATTATGTAATTTGAATAAAATTAATCAGGATTATTCTATGTATTGTTCCTTTAAATCAGTTTAATAATGCAATTGTTTTTAGCTTTAGCAGTTTTATATTTAGGTGCTAGTCTGTAAAGTGCGACTGAATTGAATTTTGCGTTTGAAACGCATATCCGTACTACAAAATGATAAAATTATTTTTACTGTTATTAAATATTTCGAAATAATATTTTAAAAGTTAATATCATTTAAAAAAACTTTTTTTTTTCACAATTAGTCAATTCAATCATTATTTGAGGTTCTTTTGAGAGTTTTTTTTTTCATTAATAGATGGCGCTGTTTAAACTTTTTACTTTACGTGTTAAAATTCTGCGTGATAGGACTTGTATTAAATGTTTTTTTAATATGTGAAGACGGATACAGTTCTGTTAGTTATCCTTAGATTAAGTCATGCGTTTAACGCACAATTAATATCTTATAAGCTTTTAATTTTTGTAAGCAAATCAATGCATTGAAGTTAATTTTGTATTGTATAATTATCTTCATGTCACGAACTTGCGATATTTTTGTAATCTCATTAAGTGAGATATTTTAACAAGATTCACATAATTTCAGTCCGAAATAATGTTGATTTTTTTGCTATTTGTTAATACTAGCTGTAATTTATTTAAGAGCTTATCAAATGTATGATATTGTATGAATTTAATACAAAAACGCTGTAAGATCAACTAGGCTTGGATACTTACAATAATGACAGAATGTACTCGTTATTATCATCTGAATAGCTAAAATAGTATTTACTAGTCACACTTTTAAATTCTATTATAATCAACTTCAAAAATAAAAGCCTCAATTTTTTTATAGGCCACATAAAAAGTTACACATTTTTATGCAAATTGTGGCTGTATTTTCTTAAAACCTTTGCCTTTCTAACAAAAAAATGCATTATTGGAATAATTATTATTGGAATGGCTGTTACAATTTAAATTAATATTTGTTTTTGTTACGCTCACTTTTAATTTTTGACAAATTAACTTCAAGATTGTTAACTATTGATTGAATGAAAGCAAAAATGCGTAAAGAATATTAAAAGTATTTAATTTGTTGTTCCAAAGCATTTATGAATTAAGTACAAGATTAAAATAACCTTTAGTCACATTTTCTCGTCTCTCTTTAGTTTAGTTGCGTTAAGGTAAAATAAGACACTCTTTGTTACTACCAAAAAACAAATACGGATAGAGAACCTACTCTGTGACGTTTAACATACCACAGACAACAAAAATGTTTTGTAAATTCTAGTTTTGACTCTATGAAGCATATTTTTTTTCTAAAATTCGATAGTTTGGCCAAAATAATGTTCATCATATAATTAGAAATTGTATTGTTAAGAATTATTTTTCGGCTGTCGATAGGTGAATAAATATTTTAAATAAAACAATGTTTTTTTAATTTTGCTTTTAATTCGAAAACCATCTCGACTTATGTTTGAAAAGAATGGGACAAATTAGACACCTTTATAGCCAAATAAAGGGGCTACAGGAGAAAAGAAGGTGAAGTTCCGGCAATACCAAAAAGAAAAAAAAAGCAAGCGAATTCAATAGACACTTCAATGCTTTCCGAATACAAAAAAAACATACCATTGCTCATAATCCTCTTAAGTACAATCGGGACTTATTGGAAAAATATTGCTTTTTTCCTGGGTTTTGATGGATTTTGCTCTGAATAGTATTTTGTTTGCTCAATCATGAATTTATGAAAATACAAACGAAATAATACTTAGAAATTCGATTGAATATAAATGTCTTAAGAAATAAAAATTGTAAAAATACAAATTACTTAAAGTTTTCAAATGATTTATTGTTATTTTTTTGCTATAAAATGGCCTAGATTAAAAAGTGAGGTTATAATTTGGCCGCCAAATTAACGTTAATGCTATGTTGTCTGTACAGATGGATTATTTACATGTAAATTAATTAATGGGATGTCGCTTTTTTGTTTTTAAATCATTACTAAAATAAAAAGGTCGCAATGCATTGCCTATTTGCATAAATTGTAGCACCCTTATCATTTGCGTTAGTCTCAAGGGAACGAATTTTATTCACGCATACGCAGTTCAATGACCTCTTACATCGGTATTTCACCAATCTATCACATTAACGAATCGTTTTAAACAATTTATAACCTTAAAACTACTGCATTTAGACCGAATTTCGCGAGTAACATAAATTTTCAACCCTCTGCTCACCCTCTCCCTACGTATGACGTTATAATACTGTCTGGAACTAATCACACTTGATATTTGCCTGTGTTTTGTCTAAATTATAGGATTAAATTTTTACTACTGGTAGGGTTTACTGTCTGGTAGAGAACACTTTTTGTCAAGCGACTGCTGGCCAAAATCAATACTATGCAATCATGAAATTCTGCTCGGCCGCGACCTTTTAATAACATTCTTTTATCTATTTAATTTAAGAAAAAGATAATGCAACGAAATTCAAGAAATTGGAAGGTTCAACTATTATAATAGTTCAGGTACTATTATAATAAAGCGTAAACACACAATTCTTTGTTGCCTAAAATGTCAGCAATTACAACATATTTTTGAATAATTCTTTTTTAATAAAAAGCCCTACACTTACCTCACGCTTTAGGTTATATATTTTCACGCCGTTAAACTTAGAGGTAAATATTTTGGATAAAAACCCTAATGTGGGAAAGAGACCATAAGTTGTTGCCAACATCAAGGAAGTAAGGTTGCCATGGTTTGACATGTCATGTCATTTTGACATTTGCAATTTGACAAAGGTGCACAATAAAATGATTTTTCTATAATTTTATGCGGATAAAGCCGCGTGGGAACAGCTAGTTTAAGATAACTACCCCATTAAATTTTAATATATTTTACTAAAAAATCTTGATATTAAACATTGGGAAAATAAAATAAAAACTTTGCTATGTTAAAATTAAGATTATTTTACACGTGAAACTCTTTATTAAGATGTTAAACTAATTTATGTTTCTAATGGGCTTTGTCATTTATAACAAACGTTTGTAATAAACAAACAGACGTCCGAACCCTTTTGTTATAACAAAAGGGGCAGAATTGTAGCTAATTTGAAATTCTAATGTCCTCTAAAGACTTGCAAGAAAATCTTATATTCATAGGCATATAAATTGAGTTTTCCAACTTCATCAGCGTACGTTAATTACGTATTTTAATACACAAGCTTGTTTTAATTTATGATGCAAATATGTATAACTTGGTAACGATATGAAATCGATTTTTTATTTACACAATATCTATAAGGCTTTAAGGTAATGGGAAAGAAACCATAAGTTGCTGCCAACATCAAGAAAGCAAGGTTGCCATGGTTTGTCATAGTCATGTCATTTTGACATTTGCTATTGATAATTTGACAAATGTAGACAATAAAATAAAATTTACTATTAATTTACTTATAAATGCGAAAGTTTAGATGGATGGATGAATGTTAGAGTTTGTAGCTTAAACTGAACGGTTGTCTGGAAGAAAACACAAGCTACTTACTTTTGTTTTTTTTTGAATTCCACTCGGACGGAGTCGCGGATAAAAGCTTGTCAATGTATCAATCTATAAATCTTTAATATTTAACACTTCTATCTGTCTGTCCATATCTGCGTCTTTTTCATAATCTCTGAAACATTTGGACCGATTTAGATATACAGAATTTTATTTACCCTTGAGGTTTTAGGTGTTGAAAACTAAGGATAATCTGGACACAAAATGAAAATTTTGTACCGGTGTAAGCGAACAATAGCGCCATTGTTTGCACTAAAGAGTATACAAGTTTGATAACAGTCGGGACGGTCCTTAAAAAACACATTATTATGCCTAATATGAAGAAAAAAGTAGATATTTGACATTAATAAAATGACGTACACTATTTAGAGTCTTAGTTATTTTTATTTTCAGAGAAATACTTTTTACGACTTGAAGAAATGAAATCTGTTCGCTTGTAGAAAAGAAACCAACACCGTGTCAATAAAACTTAAAGTCTCGACTTAAGTGCAAAATTGTAATTGTCGGAATTATCCCATAGTTTCAGGAACGTGTGGTTACCGTTAGCGTCGTGGCGTACTCGGTGCGGCTTCAGCTAAACTCATTAGGGATCGACCTCGGGCGAGTCTCACTGCCGCTGATTTGTCAGACAATTCACTGTGAACCTTCGGAGGTGTCTAGTTGAAAATTAGACATGATTCTAGAATCTTTTTACACGTGTTTTGTATTGCTATTAAAGATTAACTTATGGAACTTTTAAGTAACTAGTAATATTAATAGGATGCGTATTAAGTTCCTGTTTTTTTATCCAACACTAGCTGTTCCCGTGCGACTTTATCCACATATAAATTATGAAAATTTTATTTTATTGTTTACATGTGTCAAATTATTAATTGCAAATGTCAAAATGACATGACACGATGACAAAACATGGCAACCTTGCTTCCTTGAAGTTGGCAGCAACTTATGGTCTTTTTCCCACATTAGGATTTATATCTAAAAGATTTACCCCCTAAGTTTAATGGCGTGAAAATACATAGCCTAAAGCGTGACGTAAGTGTAGGGCTTTTCATTAAAAAAGGGTAATTCAAAAATATGCTGTGATTGCTGACATCTTAGGCAACAAAGAAGTGTGTGTTTACGCTTTATTATAATAGTATAGATGAAAACTTTAAACATATACTATAAATGCAATTAATTAAAAATCTCTTCATTACAGTAAATTGTTAACCATGTTTCGAATTTACTTAGTAAGGTTTAAGTCACGTGCAAGTTTAATCAGTGAATTAAGTTAGTGTTTTGTCAGAAATGCTGAGAGGAAGTCATTATGTAAATAATTAGAATGGGGTGAATCTGTCGGTACGAATTACTTCCCTTCATTGATTTAATAGGTCTCTTCGTCCGTTGTACACGTCAACCTGGTTGGTTGGTAG